TAATAATAGTAAAATTTGGACATACGCGAGAATGTGCGAGTGTGTGATAGACTCTGCGGAGCCGCGTTAATTTAGATGAGGACCGTTTTGAAGAACATGCGTACACTACACATAGTAACCGTATCGTTTATTTATTTCCATTCGTCTATTTTCACACAGCTACATACATCTTCGAGTAAGTCCGTATTTTAGGAAATTGGATATTCTATTTCGTTGTACTCAATTCGAATGAACCGAACGAACATGAACGGTACAGGCACCTCTATCCTTGAACTTACGCATAAAATACAGTATTGGAATGTGTCCTTACATAGCTGTAAGTTTATGTTGTTTAAGAAACAGTTGGTGTAAGGCAACTAATTTTGTGATTTTCTTCGAAAATATTTGAGTTGCGGATAAATCATCATAATTGATTCTTTTTCTTTAAAAAACATTGTGGTCCAATCTTTTGGAAAAAAAATCCATTTAATATTTTCGTATAAATAAATGTTGTAAAAACTTGAAAGATTGCTTGAAACTTTATTTTTCAAAATTCAAAACTTATGAATTCGGTAGCTTTTGAAATGACACAATTTTATCTAATCCGTTGAGATGGGCTCTAGGGAGGATACACGGGCTCTTTTCTAGTTTGTGTCTACCCCTGGGTTGGGCTATAATGATAAAAAATATACAACATGCGCCAATAAATGTGAATAGATGTGTGCTATTTATTTCCTATATGTCTATGGCATAATACATCTTATTCATTGAAGCATATTATGTCGTGTATTAGAATATAGAATAAAAGAGTAAAGAGTAATCTATATTGGTACTAAAACGCAAAAGGTCAATATATTCTAAATGATACATATCAAAGTGTACACAAAACACTTTTTCCGGAACTTTTCCTAATTCAAGCCGCTAAAAACGCATGCAATATAGCGTTGTTTCCAAGCTAACTAGAAATGGAGCACATCTGAGTGACGCTTTATATTATGTATGTGCGAAAGAGAAATATATTCCTCCACATATTTCTTTTTTGTCTACCAAATGGAAGATATGCAAAGTCACACAGATAAATTCCGTAGAGAATGTATATACGCGAAGTCGTGTCGTATATGCTTAATTGCTTATCCACACTTACACAATGAATAGAGCATACGGAATGAGTATTTTTACGGGATATATAGTCCAATTACAGTTGATGTCAAATTTTAAAAAATTGTTTTTACCACTAAAATGTTATGATTTGTACAAATTATGTATAAAAATTCTCCATTCTCAGAACCATAAAACGAATCATCGTTTAATATAATCCACATCACTTTGCATCAAACATATTTTATTTTATTTTATCATGATCTATTTCAGCCGAATTACATCCATTTATGTATTTTAGATATCCGTTAATTCATTTCTTTAAATAATAATTCAATTGTTTCGTTTATATCAAGAAAAATCCTTTTTATATCATTTTACAAAATAAAACAATTTCTATTTCCAAGTATGTATTTCAATAAAAATCCATATTATTTACCATTTGGTTTGCAAATATATACTACCGTTCATCAAAGTTTGGCGTACGATATTAATACTTCATGCTTTATTTTCAAATTATTTATATATTTTTTTAATTTGTTGAACACCTATCTATCTTGATGAATTTTTAACAAATGTTTTAGTAATTTGCCAGTATCCTAAATAGAAAAAACGAACATTTATTTAAAGTATTTCCATCAAATTGTTAATATTATATAGGTATTTTAATATTTTAATTTGAAAAAGATGTAAATTGTTTAAAGGTTCAGTGCATGTTGGAATCAAACGCACTCATATTCGGCTTGTCATTCAAGTCAGCTGTCAATGTTGTTGAATGTAAATACATTTGGGTCGATTTTCCATAATAAACAAACCAAATACATTGAATCGTTTCTATTTAAAATATCTCCTATTACATAAAACCACAATGGACGAGGACGAGCTTCTAAAAAAGATTGAAGATCCGATGGAAAAAAGTGAAAATAAGCGTAATCGGTTTTTATCGTTGAAGTCAAAAATCGATATATTAAATAAGCTAGAAAGAGGAGTACGGCCAATTCATATTGCCAGTGAATACGGGATTGCACTGTCAACAATTTCAAGACTGAAAAAATGTAAGACATCTCTTGAAGAAGCCATGTACATATATCAAAATAACTCGGATCGGCGATCATTGCGTGGCACATTCCATCCGAAAATGGAAAGTGAACTTCACAAATGGTATCTGGAGCAAATTCAAAACGATGTTCCTGTAACCGGATCTGTATTGCGATTGAAGGCGCGTGAACTGAATAAAAAGATCAAAGAAAATGATTTGGAATTTCGGGCTAGTGCTGGATGGATGGAAAAATTTAAAAAACGTTACGGAATTCGACTGAAAAGCTCGAGAGGTGAGAGGCAAAGAACTGATAACATCGCATTTGATTACGATGATCACGATAAGGATGCGAATGAAACAAAACCAGAAATTGTCATTATAAAAACCGAAGATGTTGTATATGAACCGGCATTTGTGACTGTAAATAATGTAGAAGATGATCCACCGACTGTGGATGTGAGTAATAAAGGTGGACATTTCTCAAAAGTCATACAATCTGTGGACGATGTGATTAAATGGAGTGTAGAAAATGAAATCGAACCGTTGTACTTAACAATGCTGAAGAGCTTACGTGAACGCATACGATATAAGGCTAGAAATTAAGAAAAACATATCTTTTGTTTCTCTAAGGAACATAGTTCCTTATTGGTTAAGGTGAGTTTTCACAATAACGAAGATATTGTATTCAATTGTCAAAAAACTTGCAGCGAAGGTAAAAACCAGAGTCATAACGATTTTAAATCGATGACCATTCAAATAGTTCACAAAATGTATTTATTCATCAGTCAAATAAGAATGGAGTTGATCCTCTCTATTTTCCAACTTTATAAAGTTCAAAAAATTCCATATATTTAAATATGTTTGCAAATAATTTTTATAATTAAATAAATGAAAAGAAAAAAAAGAAAAAAAAAAACAAATTTCATTTCATTGACTCAAACAATATATTGTATGTGTTATGGAAATGGAAAAATAAACATTGAACGTTCCCATTCACGTACATTGACAGTTCAAATGTCAAATGAAATAATTATTGCGATAAACCAAAACAAAAGCATTTTTTGTTCGCCCCTTTCTTAAGAATACTTTATTTATACTTTTTGAAGCGAATTTTTACGAATAATTTAACCGAAAAACCGAAAATGATTGACGAAAGTGAAGTGATAATTGATGAAAGTCGAAAAAATAATTTTTTATCGTTAAAAGATAAGGCTGAGATTCTACAGCGACTGGAACAAGGTGATCTAGCATCAAATTTGGCGCGTGAATATGGCATATCAAAATCGACAATTTCACGTTTCAAAAAGCGAAAAGAGACAATTCACAAAGCAGTCACCACAATCTATCCAAATAACACGGATAGACGGACTATGCGTGGCACATTCCATCCGAAAATGGAACAGGCACTCTACAAATGGTATTTGGAGCAATGCAGTCAAAATGTTTCAATTTCAACGGCAATGCTACGTAGCCAAGCCCAAATTTTTTATAATCAATTCCAAGAAAGTCACTACACATTTTCAGCCAGCACCGGTTGGATAAAAAATTTCAAGAAACGTTTTGGTATCGATCGTCTCAACGGTGATAAAGCGACGGGGCAACGCAAACGAAAATCAACCGATACGGACAATACAATTAAATGTCAAACCATTGAATATTTAATTGAAACGTCGCCAGATTGTGAGGAAAATTGTACGCCGCAAATAACATGCACCATAAAACCAAAGACTGACATTATTGAAGAAGACTATGTTGACGACAACGAAGCATATCGATGTTTGGAAACTGTGATAAAATGGTCAATGCAACGTGGAATGGACACACTTTATTTGACAATGTTGCGAAATCTCAAATCTAAAGCTCTTAAAGAAAAAAAACTACGAAAAAATTGTACATAGATCGGAATAGACGAATTTTAATAGACGACAACTCGATGCGAACGTAAACTATGTTCACATATACAATTTAAATAAGTTTTAATTAATTTAATAAATTCGAGATTTTGTGCATAACAATTGATTGTATGATTTCGTTGAAAAATAACTTGAAAGTAATAATATAGTAATTGATTGTTTGATTTCGCAGAAAGCAATATTTCGGTGAATCATTCAATTAAATTTCAGATATTTCGACTAGCACTAAGAGATATAATGGAATGGGAAAAAATGTTGCGAAAACATAATAAGACTTTTGATGTATTGCCGTATATGCTTCGAATTTGCTTCTCCCTCTCACCACACAACCACATATGATTCTAACTGTGCAAATGTGAATCGAAATGATAATCTCTTTGCTCGTCCATCCGTTCGCTCTATCTGTATTGCAATGCTCATACGTACAGCAGAGAGTGTGTAATTGTGACTACACCAACAATACATCAGTTCGTCAGTGTGTCGGTCGCGTTGGGTAAAAAGAGCAAACGACATCGGCACTCAGTTCAGTATTGAATCTCGCCGGCATCGCATTCAGAATCGCCTTTTTCCGAATTTTTTTGTAGTTTGTATCAAGAACGAACAAACAAAAATATCATTTATACACAAACCGTGTCAGTGTGTTCAAGCAAGCATCGACTTAGTGAAGAGTAAATTGTTGTATTCTTAGTTCGGCGTCTACTTTTATTGTATTTGCAAGAGTGTTCGACATTTTTTGTGACAAGAACCTTGGGTGTGTCAATTATTCCGCAATTTTTTTTCCATTTATAAAGTAAGCATACATTACATTTTTATTCTGATTATTTTTTTTTCTCTAGCAAAATTTAATGAAAATTTCATTTAATTTGGTCACGCTTTCGTTTTGAGTGAATTTATTTTGATATGTAGTTAAATCAATGAAAACATATATTTTATATGTTGATTTCGTATGTGAAAAAAAAAAATCAACAGCAAAATAAATGTATCATTTTATCGGATGATAAAAGAGAAACAATTTACTCATTGTAGCATTGTGTCATTGGGAAAAAGCAAGGCAATAAAGAGAATTAACAATATTCCAAACACATTTGTGTGCTTTTGCAAATGATGACGTTGTAACTAATTTGATATATTTGCCAACACATAGAAGAAGATTCTCGAATAGTCAAATGAGAAACATCATCAATTCAATGATTTCTTCAAGTAATCAACGTTTAGAATATGAAATGAGCGAGACTTGCTAAAAATTCTGCAATGACGTAATCCATTTTGCAATGTTTGAAAAGTGAGTGAGACACAAACAACTCAAAGATTAGCAAGTGAGTTAAAATCAATTTGAGCGTTTAAAACCGCAGAAAAAAAAGATTAAACTAATAGAAGCACTTTTTACAACTTTTTATCGAATTCCCAACTCTTTTTCCGCTTTAATCAACGGTTGTCAACCTTCTATTTCAATCTTTTCTTTTATACGAGAATAATTCCTGTTTGGGTGGAATTTATATATCCAATATGGCATTTTTTTTCGTTCATTCTTCGAAATGTTGACGCGGCAGACCGTTATATGACATTCAAAATCATGCCCGCATTATTTTCTCATTTTTTCTTCACCATCATCTCCATGAAGAAATATTGCGTTCCATTTTTCTACCACTTTTTTTCATACACCATTTCTGATGGTTGGCATGCTAAAGTAAAAACACGAAGTGTTTTGTTCTTCAGACTCACGATTTTTATTCAACCAAAAAACGCGTGTTATTGAAACAAACAGAATTTTGTTTTTTTTCCCTTCCATTAACACAATTACAAAGTTGGAGGTGCTAAAATAAGACAATGGCAAAGAACACACAATGCGAATCACATTGCCATAGTTTCATCGTATAAAATAAGTTTGTTGTACATGTTGCCGACATGTTAAACTTTTATACATAATTATTTTTGCTGCATGTGACTGTGTGTGGTGGCACAGCGACGGAATCATGCAAATGTGAATGGTGGTGTGAGTCATAGGCAACGTTTATGATGAAAGATGAATTATATGTCATTCGATGTTGTTGTTGTCAGTCCTCTTCTATACGAACGTACTTTGGCTCTCATGGTTGGAAAATTAATTTTCGAATTCTCTCATGCGTGATGATTTTGGAGTACTTAAAAACTTGCGATAGTTTTTAATTTTTATGCCACAAAATTACCTCGATTCAGAAGTTTTATTATCAAAATCAATCATATAAATGGAGTTATATTCAACTTTCATCACGATTCGACCGACAATAACTTTTCAATTCAAATCACTTGGACTTTATGATTTCAGAGTAATGGTTTATACAAAAAAAAACTTTGTGAAAACTTTTACGCATCATAAATCTGTCGAGAGCCTATTACAAGCCAGTTTTTTCGTAGTCATGTATCTGCTTTATATTTATAGCAGATATATTCACAGTGGATGTTACGAACAAAACATTCTGAGAATTTACGTACTTGTTCTTGATTCATTGCGGCATCCGGAGAATTTATTTATTCAACTCATACACAACAATGACTAATGAGAAATAATATTGCGATTAAATTCTTCGATATATTAAATTTATTCCACATCTGATATGCAACAATGGTAATTGCACATTAAACCACATAACTATTCAATCGAATCATCATGAAAATGAGAGCCATTTCGTATTGAATATGTAGCCGTGGCAAGGGACCTGATACCAATCACCAATATTGATTTTTGTACTTATTGTACGCATTCTATACTTTTTTTTCTTCAAATATGTCCTTTCAATTGAAACTTCTATGCCATTTATTTCGATTTATTTATGCCTTGAAAACGGAAATTACTGCTCAATTTCCACTTTTCATGGACGAAAATGATTGTAAATAAAATATTACGCCGGCAATGGATTACCGTTTGGTGTCAATATGAGTCGGTTATTACCCGTGAATATCGAAATCAAGTAAACTGATTCATTGAAATGTTTTGAAATTTATATTCGCCTTTCGAGAAAAAAAATCACAACAAAATAAACTTGAACTTTGTCACATTAATCGAGTGATTAATGCAGATATAGTCATTCCAACGTAAATTTTGCAAAAATATTTTATACACGAAGACACTGTCATCAATGACGTAAAAACTTGTTTCGTTTAAAGTGTGACGATGTTGAATTGTTTTGATTTTGATGCGTCAATATCGCAAGCAACCGTGCTGCTTTCGTCACATCGATTCAAATCAATGTATTATTGCGATTTTTGGTATTCACATGTATATGCATATGGAATGAATGATTCATCGAATGCGCGGTTACTTCGACAAATTGAATGAAATGTATAATGAGATGACATCAATTTTACATCGAAATTCGAGAATATCATAATTTATTCAGGCAACACAATATTTGCTCGATGAAATCACATTTGTTTCGGCCATATTAAAATATGGTATTTCAAATTCTGTTTATAACAAACTTCACATACCGTTGATTGATAGTTTGACACAGGTTTATTTCATATCTGAAGGTAAAACCATGTTGTAATAAAGGTTAGGCATTTTGACATGGAAAACATGATGATGGTATATAATTGATGAGAGACCGACATCAGTGTTCTTTTTCAATGCAAACGTTATTACATTTAATATTTGAACATACATCGGGACAATATAACAAATATTATACAACAAACAATTTAGTCTATAATTCCATTATAATTGGTTTGTCCACTTACATAAAGCACCCATAAAAACAAATTCAAAATGATACCATTTGTAATAATGAGTTTACTTTAAGTAAAAAAATATCAACTAAACGCCAAACATTGATGGATTTGTTTCATTTCAGATACTGCATTTTGATCAAGCTTCAACATGAGCGACTCACCAAAATACTATCCATTCCAGGTAAGGTTCAATTGAGAAAATCGATTGATTTTCAAAGAAGTTTCACTTTCTGCGAAAAGGAAGAGAAACATCAATGTTTTTGCTTTGCTTTCAAGTTGAATGTTATTCATTCAAAATTATGATAAACATTTCGTGATTATTTTTTTTTTTTTTCATTTTTTTGTGTCCATTGATGTTTCGATGGTCGTACAATAACTCACATTTAAAATGCAAAAATGTTCATATCCATTTTAAACGAAAATAAACTGAATTTTATGCATGATAATGCAAACAATAATAAATTGAATTTTTATGAATTGCGATTTAGTAATGAGTTGATTATAATGAATATTCATTTATATTTCCGAAGTTGGGCGGAGAGACGATTTTTTACTTCTTATTTTACAATAAATTGATGCGTTATCAACTTTTGTGACTTGAAGAGAAATTTTGTCGTATTCAATCGTCTGGAAATGGGGGCTTGATTTGAAACTAAGCCTTTTGCGTTTCACTTAAATTTCGTGTTCGCACTAACGAACAGTGAAATTTGTAGAATTTTTCCATCTAATTATTAAACGGGTAACGTGTATATATAAGTTGTATCTTCTTGGAAAGTTTTATTTTTGTAAAAGCTACGGATTTGTGTTATTTGATTGTGTCTTAAGGCTCACGAAATAAAAATGTTCAAAATAATTTTGTTAAAAATAGCTTCGTTAAAAAGACAACCGGTTTGTGACAATATTTGATTAGATATGTTATTTTGTGTGCGTGAAGTGACCGCCCGATCAGTGACCATTCTAAATGTTTTATCCTCACGTCTATGAAGTCATCTTTTGGTGTGCCTCTTCGTCATCATTGGAAATTGACTCTGACAAATTATTATTCTATGAAATAATCAGCATTAGAAAACGTTACTCGGAATATATTTTATGGAAATTCCGTATTACACATCACATATTATATAGCACACGCAACACCTATCTATACGCCTATAAATCATATGTTAAAAACACACAAAAAAGTATTTCCGTGTAACATGCAATGTTTTGATGTGATACACTGAAGCCAAATTTGTTCAATAATCTTATCACCAATTCCAACAAGGAGCTTTGAAAGAAAAGAAATAGTGAGACAACTATGAGAAGAAAAAAAAGGATCGATGTTGATTGAATAAAATGCGTTAATCAAACATATTATTTTCAACGCGTACGACGTAAAATCACAGAGAAATTCCATTCCATATATTCGTGACAAAGTTACATTATCTCTTCTATTCCCTCCTGCTCAGTCTTTCCGCCGTTCTTTCATTTTTTTAAGCTTCTGTGACAAATTTTCCTTGCATGGTTCACAATAGTTATAAAAGCGTCTTAGATGACTGAGAAAAGCAGATTTTCCCCTGTATTGTCGTCGTCATTTATTGCACAATTCTCAATTAAATTGGCGCCCAATACGAAGTTAGACGTCAACATCAATAATGAATCAATCAAGCGTATTCAATTGACTTGTTTGTGTTCGCATTTTTGCGACAAATGGGCATTTTTTGATAAATGACAATTTTTCATTTTACACACATTGTAATCAATTCTCCTGACTTTTAAATATCAAAGTACATGAACCCAACTAAAGCTGCGTCTGCGATACGAAGATTGTTTTAATTTTATATTCATGCTATTATCGTCGTCTCAAATTAAGGAGAAAAAAAAGAAGATTATTCACTGATAGCATTTCGTGTGACTGACAGCCTGACAATACACATCAAAAAGACAATTGAAAGTGCCACTAGTCGAAGCATTAATTTGTTACGAACAACATTGTTCATTTTGTTTTATCGTCTGTTAAAATGTCTATCCACATCGAAGTTTTGCTGCATGCACTGTGCATTTTACTGTACTGAGGTATGTGTGAAAACGAAAACTATTTTCCAACAACAAAACGAAAAGTTTTCCAATTTTCTTGTGTTAAAATTGTTGCCACATCATAACAACGGGTGGGCAAAACGGGTGGACGGGCAGGAAGGATAGGCACATTTTTAGCATAATAATATGTTTTAATAGCAGTTGAATAGTTTTTCGTTGTTTTTTTTTTTTTTTGAAGTGATTGCCTAAACAAATGAGTTTTTTCCAATAAAGTGACAACCGACGTATAAAACCAAAGTTATGAGTATAAAATGTCTATTTGAATCACGAATACAATTCAACAATATCAAAATAAGTCGTTTCTTAACTTGAATATGAAAAAAAAGCAGAGAAGCAAGAAAGCCGAATAACACAAATAAGACTGAAGACAAAACGGTGGTAATGAAATACAAAATCAGTGTTATGCGAATGTGTGAAACGAACGAAGAAAAAAAAAAGCCAAAAGACGAACCGCAAAACGAAGCGTGTTGTTTGTGAATAATACACATATTATGGATAGAATTTGATAATACGGGGGCAACAATACGAAAAAATAATAATACACAAACAAATTCCATCATTGACGGCACAATGTGGGACATAAAATTGTGTATGTGAAATAGCCACCGCGCATATGTTATGTAGTAGTGTGCCGCCGCTGTTATAGTATGTATTTGGCCAATGTAAAAAAAAATGAGTTACTCACTTGCTTATATTAACTTCTGGCTGGATTGCTCGTTCGCTTTCTGCTTACCAACATCTACTTCAGTCATTTTTTGAAATTCAAGCGTTTCGCTTCGTTCACTGAAATTTCTTCGTAGAAAATCTAGCGCATTTTTCGAAAACAAAAAATTCGTTTCTCATTTTTGTTTTTCTTATTTCGTTCACACTCTACTTTAAATCCATTCAAAATGTGGAAGAAGGTTTGATTTTCGATTTAAACTTTAAAAATATAAATTAATTTTGTTTCATTGATTTTTTTTAAAGACCCATTATTCCAGCTCAATCACTTATTTTGCAAAATTCATAATCACAACGGAACATTTTTTTTGTTTCTACGTATTTGACAAATTTTGATTGAAATGTCATAGGTTGTTGCTCGTAAAATGAATCAAATGAGTCGAGATGCTGCAGTGATTAAGTGAATACTAAACACTTTTGCGATTAGAATACCAACTCTTTCAAAATCACATCCTCATTTTAATCGCTTTCGAAAATAACAAAATAAAGTGTTCAATTTGCAATTTGACCGTTTTAAATTTGGTCGGTGCTAAAAACGCAAAATAGTTGCCCCATTTGAATATAAATTTCCTACTCCGTTTTGGGTATTGTTGTTAGACATAGTGCGATAAAAGGCCAAAAGAAAAGATGATCTCATACAGTGGCCGCAAAGTTTGCTATTTATGTGAGGCATTACATCATTCATTTTGGATGAAAAACACACATACACACAACATATTATCGCCCAAGCGACATTCACAATTAATGACTGAATGATTACACACTGTTCGTATTATTGTGTCGTTGTTATTTTTTATTGTGGTCATTCATTCATAAATGTATAAATTTAGTAAATTTCCGAAGTTGATAAACAAACAAACAAAACTAAAAGTAAATTTCGAATTCAATACAGTAAATGATGAGTGCATTATATTTTGGTCTATTTTGGTAGTGTTTTTGTCAGTGAATGACATTGAATTTATTTCTTCTTTGCTTCTTACTTCATGAATCTTCCGCTTTTGCCATATAATACGTATTTTTCGACATTGAATCATGACGAGTTTTTGAATGATGCCAATGTAAATGAATAGACTTCATTACACTTTCGATTAGTATACATCATAAAAACCATCGTCGATACAACAAAGTATAAGTTTGATTAAGAGAGTATGAGAGAAATGGCATTATTTGCCGTTATTGAAGCGTTCCATAAAACGATTCTCTCAGTCATTTCGTCTCATTGGTACCAATACAGCGACCAAGCCATTAGAATAGTGGCACATCCTATACATTTTTGCAGAGTAAACACGCTCTGGGCTATGAAAGCTATTTTGCACGCTGTTGATTGATATACATGGAAAATTGATACATCTCTTAAAAACTTGAGCACGCGTCTTTGTAGTTTCTCACAGAACAGACTCATAAAAATCTACGGAAATGGTTGCAAACCGATAAAATATGTGTGTTCATACCGAGACTAGTCATGCCGGCGTCATATTCACATTAAACAGAACATGGACTCGTAGCAAAAAAAAAAAAGAGTTTGCTAAAGAAAAATCTAGACTAGCATGACCTTCATGAAATGCTATGAAAAATTGCAATTTCTTATATTTATTTTTTCTCTTTCTGTTTGGTTTCAATTTTTCGATTTAGTGCACACCAACCGTTTACCCAACCGATCCATTCGAACCAAATCAAGATGCTGATACATTGCGTCAGGCTATGAAAGGTTTTGGCACCGATGAAAAAGCAATCATCGAAATTCTTGCACGCCGTGGCATCGTTCAACGTATTGAAATTGCTGATGCATTCAAAACTGCTTACGGCAAAGATTTGATTAAAGAGCTTAAATCCGAATTGGGCGGTAAATTCGAAGATGTTATTGTCGCTTTGATGACACCTTTACCCCAGTTCTATGCAAAGGAGTTGCATGATGCCGTCGCTGGTTTGGGCACCGACGAAGAAGCAATCATCGAAATTTTGGCCACACTATCGAATTACGGCATCAAAACGATTGCCGAATTCTATGAACGTGACTTTGGACGAAGCTTGGAAGATGATTTGAAAGGAGACACCAGCGGCCATTTCAAACGTAATCTAAATTGTCAACACTGTTAAGTCGAATGATACAGTTTTTATGTTTAATTTCACACTGCAGGCTTGTGCGTCTCTTTGGTCCAAGGCAACCGCAACGAAGATCAAACCATTGATGAAGCTGGAGCTAGGCAAGATGCTGAAGCTCTTCATCAAGCCGGTGAAGGTCAATGGGGTACTGATGAATCCGTTTTCAACGCCATTTTGGTGACTCGTTCCTACTCACAATTGCGCCAAATTTTCCAAGAATACGAAAACATTAGTGGCAACAGCATCGAAGATGCCATCAAACGCGAGTTCAGCGGATCAGTTGAAAAAGGATTCTTGGCCATTGGTATACATTTTTTTTACAATTTAGCTGTGCATGATTCTGCCTAAAAATGCTCTTAATTTATATATAACAAAGAAAAAAATTAAAAATATTTGTCATCTATAGCCAAATGTGTCAAGTCGAAGGTGGATTTCTTTGCCGAACGTTTGCATGACGCCATGGCTGGTATGGGCACCAACGACAAAACACTGATTCGAATCATTGTCTCGCGATCTGAAATCGATTTGGGTGATATCAAAGTTGCCTTCGAAAATAAATACGGCAAGAGCCTAGAATCATGGATCAAGGTAGGTTTGAAATGGCAATGCCCTTATTTTGCAAAAGCAAAACCATTCACTTGCTATCTATCTCTATATTCGAAAATAAGTATCTATTTCTGTGGTAAATTGGGCTTCAACCATTTTGGTTTTGGGTAGAACTATTCTGTTATTTTCTCTATTTACCGCATTGTCTTGTCGTAGTCGTCTTGTTACAAATTGCAATGTGCATGTCAAATTGTCGTCAAAGTACTCATTTATAAAGAAAAAAAAAACAGTTACAATATACTTTGCATGATTTTCTACATATCGTTCATCACATAGTTTGTATGTCAACACCCAATTCAATTAGAAGCTCGAATTCATATTCAAACTGAAATTACATTGATATAGTGGAATATATTCAATGTGTTTGGTTTTTGTAGTAAAAAAAGTTAATTTATTATCGGTATATACGCTTTGTTTAGTTATGAATTGTAGCAAAAGAATTTCTTATTCTTTTTTGGACCTTTTTTTCCTTTTACTGTACATTTATTAAAAAGAAACACAAAAATTTTTATTTTTCCAACAACTCATCAACAGGGAGACACAAGCGGAGACTACAAACGTGCGCTCCTTGCTATAACTGGAGGATATTAAAAGAAAAAAACATGATTACTTTACACTTTAAAAAATGCAAAAACAAAACACACACACACATGAACACCAGACAATCGAAACATTACACATAATTTTTGTTTATCATTTAATTTTCTAATCACAAAAAAATGATATTGAATGTAAAACATCACATTTACATCACAACATTTTATTCTGATTTTTAGTTCAAAATTATGTAATAATACGATTCGGAGGAAATGCCTTTGGTATTTTTCATTCAATCAATGCACACAATTGAAAACAATTGCTTTTTATCTGCACCAACTACTGTACTCTATCTTTTGGAACTTTTATTTGTTTAGAATAGATTTTTTTATAAATATTTTTCGAAATTTTATTTACAAAACGTTGAAATGAAAAGCGGCTATTGTTTATTCTTGTAAGAAAGTATTGTTAAAATGAAACAAATACAATTTATTTAAAATACAAATTGGGAACAATCTAAATACTAAGTTTATATTTTTTTTTGGTTTTGTACTATTTGTAGTATTGTATGGAAACATTTTAGCATGGTCGATTTATGCGAAGGACAATTGCGCTCAGACGTACATATAAATTGAAAATTTATATTTAATTTTATGACCGGCTCGTTTGAAATAGCTCGTGTATTAAAAATTTAATTTCATTGTAGCGGCAAATTCAATGTACGCTAAAATACTGAAGGTCACCAAGTATACCAATACATGAGCGCTAACGCTTTTGAGTGTGTAGCGAGTTTAAAATCACCGGTTCGCTTAGGCGTATTTTTTTCACACAAACAACAAAATACGATTTTGACAAGCTGCCGTATGTATTTAAATACGTCACTCTCGCTTTCGGTCGATCTTTGTATTGTACCAAATACGTACTTTCGCTTTTTTTTTAAATTGTTGTTGGTTGTGTACGTTTTTTTCTCATTCACCATTCGCTAATGAGAGACTGCTTATCTGAGCGCAATTGGCCACATACGGCAAAATGGATTCGTTTAATTACAAAGATTTGGCATTAAATTATGATCAAATGTAAACAGAACATTTTCAGAATTATTTCCCACTTTTATTTAAAACCAATACTAACATAACAATTGCATGTTCTACATCAAACTAATCACACAACATTTCCGTTACTTGACGCACTGATTTTTTCACAATGCCATTTTTTATTGAATTAATTTAAAATTGATTTGATTTTTTTCTTCTTCTTTTTTCTCTTTTCGACGAATTTTTTTTCTTCAACAATTTTTAAAATCTTCAGGATGACTTAGCAGTCGAGTACGGTTATGTGCTTGAAATGCTTTCGACCTACTAAAATGATGTATTTCCGCCCCTGTCAAATAGCATTCCAATGTATATTGACTGAGAAATAATGATGGTTAAAGAACAGTGCAATATTAAACAATTTTTTTAGATATTTTTTTTTAAAATAAAAATAGTCGGTATTTTTTTAAATTGCAACAGTTGTAAATGTAGACTAACTAATACTAAATTATAAGCGCTTTGGTAGTATGAAAAAAAAAACTCACAAACTAACCGAATCTTTTGATTAATGGAAATCGGTTTGGCCTTGCATGATTGAAAATCTCTTTCTGAATTTATTTGGTATTTCCAACTGAAAAATATCTTCATTTGTCGGAATTTGTTCATTATTTGCAGGAGGATGTCGGTGGTGATATTGGCTCAGTTTTGGTTCATCTGTGTTGCTACTAAAATCGAAAAGATTTAAATCTGAACAGAAATCAAATGCTTCCATCCGACGAATGGCTGCTGGTTTCGCCATCATTCATTTTTGGCCTTATTTTCCTTTGAATATATAATTTTTAAGCATTTTTTTTTATTTTAGTTTTTGTGCACGTAATACTCATAATTAATGTTTTTTTTTTGTTTGTTTGATGAATTTACTTCAAAATTGAATTGGTGGTCTTTTATTTCTCCCCTTTATATTTGTCATGCATATGCTGTGCTGATCTGTAAATAGTTTGATTTCCAAATTGAATATTTCTTTTCTCTAAAATATTTCTTTTTCAACCATTCCGAAACATTTTTGTGATTTTTTTTTTCGAATATTTTTTAAATACTTTTCAGGATGACATTTCTGGTGATTATCGCGATGTATTGGTTTCATTAAGTGGAAATTAAAGCCATCCGCTAAACTAGATTCTCATTAGAAGACCACTCAAACACATAAATCATATATTTTTTTCCACCAATCAATTTGTGACTTACATTTAATTTCAGAAAATTCAAATCATTTACATTTCTTTCTAATTAAAATCAAAATACTTGTCTAGCATGTTTGATTATATTTTTGTTAACAATTTTTGCACTTATTCTTATGAGCCTATTTAAAATTGAAACATAAAATAATAAAATAAAATATATATATTTATGTTAAAAAAAACTGTCGATGTTTACACACTGGAAGCACAACGAATTTGATAATAGATCAGTTGCACGCCAGTTGGAAGTGCTGTAATTTATACATTCACCTTTGGATCTAATTGCCATTTTTATAAATAAAAAATTGAAGAAAAAAAGAAATTAAATTTTAAAATTCCAAACAGTAATTTTCAATGAATCGAGCAACTATGTGTTTTTTAAATGTTGAATTTTTATTCAAATGCCTTTGTAAGCAGTTTTGAACGTAAATGATAAAAGAAAACAAATCTGTTCACATCATCTGATATTTTATCTTATTGAATTAAAAAAAATCTAATGAATTTTATTAAATATTGTGATTGTTTGAATTGATAATAATAAATATGTTCTAAAATTTTCACCACATTCCAAATTGTCTTCTTATTGTCTTTGATTTGTACATTTCATGTTAAAAATGAGGTAAGTAACATCTCGGCTCAGGTACAACTATTAAACGTTCGCACACCATCCTTCGTTATCTGCAAAAAATGCAATTGGTTTTTAATTTGAGCTCATCAAATGATTCATTTATAGCGTTTTATTTAGTGGTAATCAACAGTAGTTGTTTTTACTTACTTGGAATGGCACCTTCTTTTCACATTTAACAAAGCATTTGTCAATGTTTGCCACAAAAAGTTTACGATTGTTTTCATCACGCCCAAAGGTCACTTGACAATTAACTCGATGTAAATGGCTTTCACCCAACGCGGGGACAATTTCGGTATCTCCTTCAGTTGTGACTCGTGTCGTGAGCTCATTTGTTATCACCACCTAAATTAAAATTCATATTAGTTAATCTGACACACATTAAAGTATCAACTGAATGAAAATTTTTAAAATTACCGCACAATGTAACTCATCAGCGATTTGTTGCAGTTTGGATAAGGCCTCATAAGATATTTGAATTAGATTGACACTTGGCTCGATCGACCGAAATAGATACGAAAATGAGTCAATCACTATCAATCGAACCTACGACCAATCAACACTTTTAATACATGTGAATTTTGATTAGATTTTGTTTTTCATTTGTTTTTACGTTTGGATTGTTCTTGATAACAGTCGTTAATTGATAAATTGCTGCCAAGAGATCAGTGTAGCTTTTGCAAAATGTAATGTGAGAATTGCGTAAAATAGTATCAACCGTGAATGATTCGGGTTTAAACGGGATATTCTCATTTCGGTACACTATTTTACAGCGTTCGTGTGTTGCGATGGCAATTTCTGGTGGATGCACAAATAATGAAATAAATTAAGTATTTTAAGACATGATTTTTAAATCCATGCAATTTGAGATTGAATCCGTTCACATTACCTCTAAGTCTATCTAATGAAAATCCACGATTTGTATCAATGTAAACCGCTGCACCTCCTTGTCCAAACAAGTCTTTCGGAATTTGAACATTAACGCATAATTGTAGGCTATGGAGAAAGTATCATTTTCAACCTTTTTTGTTCAAATTATTATAATTTTGTTTGAATTTACCAAAATTGAGTTTTGCCACTACCCGGTTGTCCAACCAATTCTGTTATCGATTTCATACGAATGCCACCGCCAATCGCTTCGTCAAATTCTCTGCACAATGTGATAATAAAACCAGCATTTTTTTCTTCTTTCCACACATCATACGCTCTCTTGCCAAACATTTATTTTTATTTAATTTAGTTAAAATTTAGACAAATAAACGACTAAAAATTCAATGCTTTCTTTTACTCGGGGAACAGTACGTAAACAATAAACATTTGCCGATTACATTTTGACATTTACTCAAAAAGCGCGCACTTTCAATGTGCGTGGCTGAATGAAATGGGTTCGTTCAATTTCACCTCTTTCAATTTCCAATATTTTCATAGATTCCTGGTGTTTTGATATTCAAATTTGAATAAAAATTGTTAAAATTGTGATAAATCTGATATTTAAAATTCATTCATTGAACAAACGAAATATTTCGATTTAAAAATACAAACTTAAGTTTTCATTAGCTCCAGAGTACTTTACACGCTGACAATTCGTACTTAACAACTTTAACTTGGATACGGTTGTTAAAAACAATAACATCAAGTGGCAGTGTCGTTGTGTGTGTAAAAATGTTGGTATCGTTGTGTGAACGTCATTAAAGCTATGCACAGTGAAATACCGCACCATAATCCACATTTCTTGTTTCGCTCCGATCAAAATCAACACAATCATTTGGAATTGTGTTCAGTTTATGTTTGTGCCTTCAACACAGCTGACAGAATCGCTCAACGTTTCGTATTTATATTTTTTCGAGTTTTGTGTTAATTATTGAAAACCAAATTCGGTTGCATTGCCCATTGTGTATCGCATATTGGCACTTACAATGAATTATTGAATTCAACGTTGGAATTTTAAGAGAAGAGGAGTGTTGCTTTTGTTAAAAGTGATCAAGAATAGTGAAGAGAGAATAAAGACATTGAACATAGCTGTCGCGAATAACGTGAAATTGTGCGTGCGAACAATAAATTTCTTTTCTTCGATCCAAATCAAGTGGAAACATTTTCAAAGGCATTTTTTATGCATGATTCATTTACGTTGTTCCGTTTCATTTTTTTCGTTCGTCTTCATTATTTTCAATTGAAAGAAAACGAAGAGAATAAAACATTTCACCGGTGATACGATAAAACGGCACTATCGAAACGATAATATTTGTTGTGTTTACTGGATAAATGAATTCTATTGGAATCGACATCAAAGAAAAACAGTGATGAAACTCATATTATATTGAACTCGAAAACATTCATAAATCATTGCCGATTGACTTGCAAATTTCATTTAATCCGCAAAGGAAAAGTGGAAAAAAAATACCGAAAAACATTATTCATGAGAATGCATGCAACGCACACGTCCAGCCGAGAATAGTTCTTAAGTCGTGGATCGACTTGTTGGTCAAAAATAAAATAAAACGATTAGTAACTGAAAACGACGACATTTCAAACAAGTAAGTACATATTAGATAAATCTCCCTAATCATCATAAATTAAATGACGAAATCAATTTTTCAACCATTTAAATTTTGTTTATCTTCGTTTGAAAACATGCCGTTTTTAAATATGAATATGTGGACATTGGAATTGAGGTGGTATTCATAATGCGTATCATGCGCCAAGCGGTCCCAATAAATGTAAATTTAAAAAAAAAGCAATAACAACAACCGAATATATCCGCATTACTTTGATCGTCGTAGGTTTTTTTCTTGCTTCAAAACACGTGACGTAAACTTTATGATTCACTAATAAATTTTAAACAGGCCGACCAAAGGCATTTCTTTTTTTTTTGACACGAGCGTGTTAAACGTAATAAGCCACACACTGCATTATATATATATAGCTTTGAAGTGCGAACGCTTCTGTTACGCGTGTATATGTGCACAGAAAAATTCTATTTTAAATACGAAAAAGCAATCCCAACTGCACATTGACACATCAGCACAGGCTCCGTTTTGAACAGATTTGAAATGCACTCACAACGACAAATACTGAACAAACAGAAAACCAAATTCGTTCACAACACACACACGCAAAATCATGTACCGAATTTCGGCATCATAAAACCTCAAGACAACAAATAACGAAATCGAGAAATAAAACCTATTCGAGAATTCGACGATTTGGTTGTCATATCTGTTATTGTTGTTTCAGTTACAATCTGATCGGCATTTTCTTTATTATGATTTTTTTGTTGTTGTCTCGGTTTTATCTCCCATTTCTACTGATTTCTTTCGCTAGATGATGAGTGAACATATACTACATGCAGTTTATTCTTTGTTTATTATACTCATACAGAATGAGACAGAAACAAAACACACAAAAGACAGCGCATTAAAACACCAAAATGTAATAAACAAACGGATAGCATGAAATCCATTGAATGTTGCCTATCCAAACTTAATAAGAATTACCATAAAATATTGTAATGATTTAGATTTTGTAAATTCAAAAAGAAAACTGTGCTTGGTGATACATCGTACTGTAGCAGAATGCTAAAAACGTATAGACGATTCGAATTGAATGCCAAATTAAGTGCATCATTCGAATGATGGTTTGAGTGGTTCGATGAAATGATGAGTATATATGTGAGCAATGATGATGATTCAATGGAATAAAAGTCGGTAAAACCATTTGGATTGCACACAAAACGACCATCTGCTCATATTTCCAATAAAGTTTTTTCGATCTTCTTCGGTTCGGTTCGAGGAAAGTTTGTCTATGCAACAATTTGATTTGCCATTTCGTTCGATGCACAGAAATTCCATGGAGATTTACACGGTGTGCGATTGGTACAATTATTGTTTGCTGACTTTGACTTTAACCAATTCACGACCCCTTTTGTTCATTCGTGTGTTCTGTCTCTTTTTTTGCGATCGTTCGCCGTTCATTCTCGCTTTGCCGTCGTTTTGTGTTGTTGTTCTTTGTGATGTGTGCTGTTTGATCGGAAACTCGTTTATCATTCTGCCAACTTTCGATGCCAACTGCATGTTGTTGTTGATTTTCTTTTTCTTGGCAAGTTTTGATACCATTTCATTGTTGCTTACATCATCAATTGCACGTAAAAAAGATACCTGTACAAATAAGAGAGCAACTAAATTATGCACCAAAAAAAACAACAACAACATGTAATATGCAGTCAACAATCAATATCACAATCTACATTCATTTCAATTATTCGCTTCATTTTCCATTCGTAACTGCTCTTCTCTTTCTCTTAAACTCTCCGAGCAATCTCAAATTGCGGAATTTAATCGATTTGTTTCTTTGGAGAAGTAGCTAAATTTCGTTGCATTCGAATGAGATTTCAAGGATTGTTTTTCAGCGCTAGAGCGCAAGATCACTTAAAATGATCTTCAGGATCTTACATTTCTCTTTTTAATGTGTCTACAGAACATGTTAGTGTGGGTTTTCAGCGTGCTGTGCACGCTCGTTTGTCTACGAAACCAGAATAAATGCATGTAATTTTATGCTGATGTTATTTTGTTTTCAAAAGCCATAAAAATGAAAAAAAAAAAACAGAAAACAAAAGGAGCCAAACAGAATTCTGGAGCACAAAATTAGATGCAACAAAGAACAAAACGAGCTAAATAGATTTTCTCGAAGAGTGAGGTTCACACAATGTCGCGTAGTGCTTAGCGTGCATAGACAAAATGAAAGCACACACACCAGGAAGCAATGTGTAGAGTGTGTACATTATTTATGCACATGCCAAGTGAACACAAATCTTAAGCTCTTTGCGCCCTCTCACTTTTTACTCTCTTCTCATCTTGCATATCATCTCAATAGCAAACACAATTCTATTCCATTTATTTGTGCATTTTCTCTGTGTTCGAACCTCTCTACATTTCTGCACATGAATTTATGCAATAAACGTCTGTTGCATAAATTTCGACTCGCTAAATATACTCTCATCACAGTGTATACTGTTCGAGTGAAAATGCGAAAACAACAAAAAAAAAATCCACACACATCACAATGCAAAATAGTTTATGTGTGTTTTTGTTTGATGTACGATATTTCAATGCACCATTCCGCATAACCGTGAATAGATGAGAAAAAGGAAGAAAAAAAACTTTGAACATGCAACGAGAGAATGAGAACCAGCCAAAGAGTAGAGCATTCAACGGCTGGCCATTGTCGTGCAACATGCACATGCTGACTGAAGCCTTTTAAAATGAGACACACTCAACCATCAGAGAGAGAGAGAGAGAGAGAGAAAGAGAGCAATAACAACAACAAAAAAATGCAATCGACAAGGTTTAGGCCACTTTCGGTTGGTTTGCGTTGGCTACCTTCAGAAGTGTGCACGACCATAAAATGATAAGTAAGAACTTGAACGAACATAATACGTTTATAACAAATAATGAAATGGCATTTCCGCACAAAGGGTTCCTTTTCAAGTGTTCTCGTGTGTGACATGTACAAACATATATTTTATATATATACTCTCAAATTCGCCATCGAAACAATTCTTTAGGCCATGCTCTGGCACTTTATCTTCGATGCCCTTTCCGTTCTTTTTGGTGTGTGTTTTTTTTTTCGTTTCTTCTCTTTGACTTCTTTATTTCGCTTCTCTCCTGTTTCTGTCGCGAATACAAAATGGAAGAACAACAAAAAATGTGAATTCACTTGTAAAAAATTTTTTTATGGTTTTTTATCTCGTCTCGTTCAAAAGTAAATGCACAAAAACAGACCGATAAGCTTGTTTTCCACTGCTCGAGAGGTTTTCGATGCTAATTTGTTTTTTTCCTGTTGTCCAGTTCATGGTACAATAACTCAAAAAGGTGAACAAAGAAATGGCATGCAGTTTTGTTCACTTGTTACGACTTGTCCACTCATATGCGATCCATGTCATTTTTCAACTCAAAGACTTTCCGGCTGAAATTCTTCATTTCATTTCTCTCTCTCTCTCTCTCTTTCTCCTTATTCCACTCACTCAACAAAATGCGACACATGAAAAGACAAAGACCAAAGCATGACTTGCAATCGAATTATGCATGCAGATCGTGTGATGCATGCTGTGTCGTCTGCAATAACACTTCATAATTGCTGCCGCTTTATTTCGATGGTGGCCATTTAGAAAAAGAATGTACAAGAACGCATTTGAAACAAAGCAGAATGCGTCATTTCGGTCATTACTTTGTAGTTTGAATGAAGTGTATGGTCAATGTCATGAAAGAAAAAGACATTTTTGTATGACCGAAACGAATAAAACACTCGTCATTCCGAGAGTTTAAAATTCATTGCGGAATTTCGTTTGAAATGATTTTCTTCAGTCAAATTGTTGTCACAAACAAAACAATTCGTGCTCCGAATTTCTTTTCATTATAATGAACTCCTCTTCTAGTTTCGTTCTGTTTTCGGTTGAAAGACCGTTTAATGTGCTCGACTTTTTCTTTACTTGGAAGAAGTTACTGAAGAAGTGACATACTAACACCATCATCAAAGTTACGACCCCTAAAACCGTATAGTTTCCGTCAGATTCGAACTTTGCTCCAAATTTTTCGAAATGTGTCATGTATCAGATGTCATGCCTTCCATATAGCGTAGTTTCTTTTATGCCTTGTAATGTTTTACACATCAACAAACCATGCGCACCGCATTAATTAGCCAAGCCAATGAAGAGTGAAAATTGTAACATCATAAAATGATTTGCATAAACCAATTAAAATCACTTCCATCTCGCATCAGTTTTATGATGCAAAAACCATTTCACCGCAAGTGATGTGTGGTTTTTGTGCCAATCGCTTACTCAAATGGAATACACGCTCAATCTTTGCACAGTCATTTTACACTTGAGTGAATTAGTGATGTTTTTTTTAAATATTTATAGCCAACCAGATTCAGATGTGGTTTCAACGAAATCAATCAACGGTATTGATGAGCGTATTTATTTGCAGACCGAATATTATATATTTTGAAATATCAACGCTTACTTAAAATCATGTTGAGTGATTTAAGAGGTTGTTAGTAGTGCAAAAAAAGAAACAGCAATTTTTTTATTTGAATTTTTATTTCAAAGCTCAGTCACCATTTGGCTGAGCAGTTCGAAGCTGATGTTAATCCATGGTCTTTTCAAAACAATCGATTGTTGGCACAATTGATAAAAGCGACATATAAAACGATGCAAAATTGCATAATATGATTTCAGTAGCTGGTTTTCGTGTCAATGGCGATTAGCTAAGAGAACTAAATACGGTGACGACAACAACGATGAAACCCAAGAAATGCTCTAGCCAAGCGATTACGTAATTTAATCAGATTGATGTCAACTGACGCTGAAAATGTAAAGCGATATAAGTATATGACAATCGCGCGTGTTTTTTTATTGCTGCGTTTTGAGTTCTACGTTGGGTGTGTGTGTGTGAGTAATAGTCGCGTTTGTGCGATGCACATAACTCACTGCTGGCCGAGACATTGTGTCGTCACTCATACGTTCAATGTTCAATGTTTGAGCAGTAAATTTCCAAATACGTCGCCACAAACTTCATATTTAGATCTACCATACTCAAATGGGGAGACAAAAACACACACAACACTATGCAATATCGACATTTTTGGTCACATAAACAATGAATGAAATGAATTTTCAATGGACTTTTCGATTTTGTGTGTGTTTTTTGGTATCGCTTCTGCTTTTCGCCGCAAAAAAAAATATATTTCACACAAAGTGCTTTATTTGTCGTTTCAATTTGCTGAGCGATGGCAGTTTCAACAAGAGCCAATTTTCCTATGGCACGCACAACAATGTTGAATAAAAAAATAACAAAACAAAAAACACTCCCACAAAACACTCGATGCGATAAAAAAAAAAAACATTTAGCCCAACAAAACACAAACGGTTATGCAACCAATCAATTCTCTCTCAATTCATTGCCTCTTTCACTTTTATTTATGAGTTTCGATTCAATTCAATTTTGGCACATTGTTTTCTTAATATTGATGTGAGTATAAATTGCGCGAAGTACCGAATTGGTGTGTTGTGTTGTGTTTCATAACATTCGAATTTAAAAAAAATATATCAATTAAATTCGCCAAAAACCATCCGTTTAGTTAATCATTGGCGTCTGTTGTTTTTGCGGCAAAAAAAACGTAATTGATTGAAGTGCTACAAGAATGCGCCATGGTTCACGCAATCGTTCTGTTTGCACGACTGTACGCCACGTCTATTAGCTCAATCATGTGAAAATTTCGAGTGTTTTTCTTCGGACCCATAATTTACTTTCGATTTACGGAATCGACTACCAGTTGGTAAAGCGAAATTCGTGCGAAGATGATAATTTGTTGGTTATTTTTGGAAGTGTAAGCCCACACACACTTCATTCGTATGTCGGAAAATCGTAGGCCAAAAAAGACGCACACATTTTATTTACTTTTGCACATGCCGCACATGAATCATCTTCATACATATAAATAATATGTATCAAAATGTATGCTCATGTCGATTTTGAAAGTAAACAAATCCATTAAAATATTTTACAACACACAATGTTAAGTGCATTTACTGCATTTTAATGCATTTTCTAACTACTCTTTTTTTCGCCGCATCATTTGCCGCAATCTTCTTACACATTATTTAAGGGTGATCAACCAAGATAACAAAAAAAACTCCTTGAGAAATCGATTTTTTTTTAGTTTGCGCGTGGAACATTGATGATTAATTTTACAGTATTAAGTTGCATTCAGTGGACATACAATGCAAAACTATCCATGGATATTTCCCGATTTCACATCATTATGTCTAAAATTAGATTTCTCTCAAATCAATCTGCAATCGCTTTTGCAGTTACAAAAAAAAAATATTTTATCTTTTTTTCCTTTACATTGGTGCTATAAAACTTTCATTGATTCTGAAATGCAATGAACAAATCGAATTTAATGGCAGCGCATGAGAGCATTAGAAACTAAGAGTGAGAAAATTGCGAGACACAAAAGAAAGGTTTAATAGCCTTTTGGTAAATCTCACTCATAGCATCAGTGTGTTTGTGTGTGTGCATTACATGTATTTCCAGTGGTTTTAAACGATGGCGCGGCAATGATGCTAAATGCAATTAATCCCCGTCCGCATTTATAACATCAGGAAAGGAGGAAAAATTGCAAATTGAGTTACAATAAAATGTAACAGCCGCCATTAATAGACACAACAATATATATAAATGAAATCGAAACAAATCACAGCGACACAAATGACAGTCGGATAGACAGTAACGCGTCACAAATATCTGCAATTTGTGGATAATATGCATAGCAGAAAAAAAACAGAACTCTACACGCCACATATAGCCAATGCAAAAGCATAACTTTCTCTTGCCGATGTACCGCGACGTCTGTATAGAAACGCAATAAATGTGGTGTGTGTGTGTGTGTGCTTTTTTTGTGCGTCATTTAATTCTCTCTCAAATCTTTTGGCACAAACCGTTAATTTTGTAGCATACATTCAATGAATTACTAGTACACGCGACTTGTCTAAACTGACTTTTCTCATATTGTTTGTCATTGTTGTCACACAATGCAGTTGATGAGTGCGCGTGAGCGCAAATGAAAAAGATTTTATCATTCGACAACTTATTCATCTATTTTTACGATTGCTACTTTTCTTTCGGTATACTTCCATTCGACAGGATCGACGATATAACGAGACGGCTTTTAACGCAAATGGAATGGAAAACTGTGGGCTAAAAGAATATATCTCTTTCTTTCTTTCTTTCTTTCTCTGTGTGTGTCTGGGTACATATGCTTAACAATTTTTCTTGTGAATAGATAAAATTAGTAAACAATTCGCGAAAAGAAAAAAAAATAAGATAGCCCAAGTAAATACCATGAACGCTTACATTTGTATTGAATAGGTTTTGTTGTTGGTACGATTACACACAGTAATATAAAATTGTCAACAAAATACCTCTTTGAGAAAATAATTCACTTAATCGCTCTTTTAATCCACACTTTTCACTTTTATGCGGGCACTTTTTTCGTTGTTTTCGTTGTGTCGCCATCATTTCATCTCTTCCGTGTCAATTTCTCCATCTCTCTGCTCGCCACAGAAAATCGGCAGCTGTAAATTTAGCATAAACTAGATCAACAGAATGAAATAGGAGGAACGAACACGCCAAGAATATAGTCGTTTTTTTTGTCTTTCTCTCGCGAGATAAATGTAAACGATGTCCATATTTGAGATATGTAAAAATGAACGCTCACAGATCCATCAGTCGTAAATGTTAATAGTGTCTGGTCGTTGTAAATATTTCGAGCGGTTTTTGTGAGTGTCTTTTTTTTCGCTTGCTTTTTTTATGTTTATGTCGAAATCGTGAGTATTCTTTCCGTAGGCATATAATCGTTTGTATGCATAGAAGAAATATTCGTGTGTCAGTTTTTTTTTAATGTATGACCACCAGATAGATCATATAATTTTCTCAAAAATAAAAATAAATAACTTTCACCCGAAAAGAATTCAAAACGAATAAAAATATATACACGGACCTAAACTCTCATTGATTGAGCATTGAAACCGCTGAAATAAGCAATTCCATATAAACATTGCCGTTCATTTTCCTTTAATCACTCTGCAAAAATAAATTTCTTTATCGTTTCGTGTATATATGCACAACGATTTACATTTCAGGTTCATCTGTGCATCGCAAATCATTTGCGAACTTTACAATATCGGTACGATACATTAAATTGAACATCTTGAAAACTTGTTTCGTTTCAGGCAATCAGAATATTTATCGCATTGTAGATGGTTTGGTACAATCAAATTTAATGAGCTCATTTCCGAATGTCACTAGCGTCATTTGTTCCGCTCACCGCTTGTAGATAAGAAAATTAACATGTTTGCACGAGACGATCCTCAAATTCGTGTATATGCTATGTGAATAACGCCCCGAAAATTGGGAGCAATGGCCATAAACTTGCAAAATGTCGTTGATCACAATGAATATGCTACGTATAATTCACTTTCATTTCGGCCAATGTACGGAGAGATAGAGAAAGACAGATTATTTGTTATAGACAGCGAAACGCCAAACCAAATCAAATGCTGAACATTCGGTCACACTTATGAACTCGTACCGTTCTCGATTTGATTGTTTTCACGCTTTGCTTTTGTTTTGTACTTTTCATTTCTTTTCGCCTCACTTTTCGTTTAATTAAATACTTTGTTATTTCGGTGTGAGATTAATGCTGGCGATAAGAGACAACGTCTTTTTTTTATTTCGTTCATTTCAAGAAAATGGCTTGTTTTTTCTCTTCGACAATTTCTTCATTGGCACTGATTTTTAAGTAGCGATTGGTATGAGATTTTCTATTCGTTTTCATTCGCATATGAATTCCATTTTATTTCATTTCTAGAAATAGAAAGCGGAAAATAGTTATTTTATCAGCCGGATAACATACGATGGTATTCATTAAACCATGAGATTTAGTTCCTTGGCCGATTGTAAATCAATGTGTAACTTTACACTTGCATTTGTAAAACGAGCCAGTTTAATGAATTCTAACATATCGAAAATGAATATAATCGAATGCATTGTTAGCCAAGCATATCTATACATCAATGTTGCCCTTCTTTTTACTGCACATACTTACTCGCCAAGTGTGCATAACATTACGAATTGTGTGTGTGTGTGTGCATATGTCAATCCATTATTGTAACTTATTTGTTATCGTGCTGTAAATGCGATAAGTGTTTTATTTGTAGGTAAAACACTCTGTGACACTGAATCACGTGATCTGAAACAATGTTGCTTCGTTTGTTTATGAACAAATTGTATTTATATATCACATTTCAGTTAAAAGGTCATTGACCAAACCGATTAGAACAGCCTGTGAGCCGAAGCTGATCTTTATCTACATAAAAGTTTATTTTATTGATTGTTATTTTTATATATCTCTCGGTTCATCCATTTGGTATTAATTTAATCTCTTAAGTCGTGGTTTTTTTTTATATTCGCATCAATCGTCTTGAACCAAAAGCCACAACAAAGTCATGCAAAACTCTCAGGTGACTCATCGTCGACCGCATCAGTTTGCATTTCATTGGTTTTTTGATTTCCACGAAACCATTGTCGATGACGATTCATTTTCTTACATCGCCTATTCTTCATTTTCTAGGTGAAGGCCAATCTGCTGTTTGTTGTGACTTGTTTTCATACCAGAAGTAATCGAATTTGTAAGTATATTTTAATTAATGTTTTCATTTTTTTTTCACAAACAGACGAATAGATTAACTTAAACCATCGCGAGAAAAAGAAACAAATTTCTCAATAGTGAATCATTGGCTAAGAAAACTTGATTAATCTCGTCTTCGAAATAACCAAATCAAGATACTGAATCATCAAACACGATTCCAAGAAAATCAAGTTTTTCTTTCATATTATTTTGATGTTTATTTCGTATATTTTTATTCCGTTTCGAAATTTCATTCTTCTACCGACCATTTTGACGTTTGAAACGCAACAAATAAAGGGCTTCAAGTTTAAAACATGCGGTATTTCGAGAAAAAAAAATGTGTGCATTCACTTACGCTTTTTCGACACTTTTACTGTCGACTGAATATGTGTCAATTTTCGCCATAAAAACCATCTGGATCATCGTCATGCTTTCCGAAAAACCAAAACAAATCTGAAAACGACATTGGAAAATGGCAAAACCTTCACTTTTTTCTCTCTCTTCCATTTTTCTTTGGTTGAAATGTGCGATTTTAAAAGAGCGTCAATTTCTCGAGAATTGTGATTTGTGTTATGTTTCATGTTTTACAAGCAGAGAATATTCTTGAAAGTGTCCGTACCCGATTCACTCTGATTGCTTTTGCAAAACGAAACGGTAAAAGCGTTTCATTCGAATAATGCGTGATGCAAAAAAAAGAAACAATAAATCCGTATTTTACGGTCACCATTATTGCGTGCACATCGAATTTGAGATTGATTGACGACGCATTTTTTAAGTAACAACCATATTTTTGGCATACAGTGATCCATATGCAAAAGAAAAGTGAATGCACAATTACGCACAAAAAATCGACGATTTATTGAAGTGACGAAAAATATTACAGTGCAGTATGAAATGTGAATTTTAAATGACAGATTTGACGATTAAATTACTGTCTTTCGACTGGAGGTCACGGAGAGAGCGCACACACACAAAAATTACCGTCGTTCCGATCACAATCACACCCCGCGGATGCGCATTATCCATAATAACTGATTTACCCATATATTACACGTACACTTCAACGAATACGCTTTCAATTTTGAAAAAAAAAATGAACTTTTTTTCGATTTCCACACATTTCATTTGCATAAAATGAAAGTGTAATGAATTCATGTATGGAATAAGAACATAGCAGGTGATGTTATATTAATATTAGGTGCAATGTGATTACAACGTACTTCGCCAATAGGGCTTCAAAATGCCTTTTTTTTTTAAATAGAATTGGATTTCTTTGTACGTATTCAATAAAAGTTTTGTAACAATCAATAAAAAATAGGTGCGAAGAAAATGAGTGTCGGAAAATTAGCAAATGGAGAAATAAAATCGTGAAATTACGAAAGCACTGAGAATTTGAGTACAAAAAGAAAATGTGCTAAATGCAATGTAATCGATCCTAGTTACTTTTCACATATCGTTCTTTTTATTAGCGAATAGTAAAAATCTATTTTTACAATGTAGTTATCCATGAATGTGCGAGCTGTGGCTTCATTTATTCTTTTATTTAGAATCGTTTTATGGTGTAAATGTAAACATCTATGGTATAATGTGGTTATTTCATTTTAAGCGAAAATTGTCGCCGATCTTGGATTTACATATTAGGCAATATGCTTAGCGTGTGATGTTCCATTGCTTAAAATAGATCGGTGTGCTGTGTAGTTTCTAATGCGTATTTGATGATGATGAATTTTATTTTTAGTTTGTCTCTTCAATTCCGTTTGCAAGTGACAAATCTCCAGAATTTGTAATGTGATCATGTTTCAAACTGAAAACGCAGAGAAAAAAGCGTTGACTTTCTCGTTATTCTCTTTGTTAACCTCTAACCGTAACTGATGTCAGACGTTTTTTTTTTTCAACTATAGATATCTAGTGAGTTTGACAATCAGTATAATTTGTTGCATTTGAATGCCAAACGATGAATAAAAGAAGAAGAAAAAAGAAATTCAAGACGATAGTTAAATGATATCATCGAAAGATCATTTTCGAGTGCCTCGAGTCATTTAGCATTGAAACTGAAGTCATGAATCGGCCGTAATCAATCTAAATGTTTATATTGTAATATCTGTTTGTTTGTTTTTTAGTATGAAACACATGCAATCACAGCGACATGAATCACTTGAATCGGCACTGTGACTTTTTGAGAAGCAGTTCATCGCCGATTAAACCGAATTTCATATACACGAAATTCACATTTTATTTTGTTTGTCTCATTCCGTGCATGTCCCGCTCCATTATCTAATAGATTTGTTATTGGCATCGACGAAGAAGAAAGAAACACATCACGGATTGCACTTTCTCTCTATCGAGCATTTTGTGTATGCCTATTTCGAAATCAAATTAATTTGTTTATTTTGAAAATATGTTTCCGCTCCAAAACATTCTTGCACATAGTGCGATTGATACACATGCTTCTTTGCTCACGACATGCACAGAAAACCATTTGATGAAACGTTATGCCAACAGCCAAATGTACTTTCATTGTGGATTATTTTTTAAGACTGACGATGCAGTCAATGTGCTCTTGTGAAATAATTGACGCAGCATCGTCATTTTGGCTCCGAAATATCTGACGTTTATCAATGCAATTATTTAAATTCGATTTTATATCATCAACTGGTATTCGCATGACAATGATTCTGTCTGCCAGCCAAATTGATTTCACATCGATGCAATCTGTGCATGGGAATAACATCCGAAAACAGCTGCCACTTCCTATCTTATTATCCAATTCAGTCTGTCGATCACAATGATGTTAAATCATTTATCGAACGAAAACAAAAGCGGGAAGAAAACCAACGTTAAACGATCGATTTCATACATCACATAATTATGAGTGTCCAACCATAAATTAAATTGATTGGTGTTGAATGCTTTAATGTCATTAATGTCGATCAAAGTCAATGACGATTTTATGCAATGACTTCAATGGTAATTTAATTTTGGTAAGTGGTTCCACCCAAATTTGGCGAAAGTTATCGGCGAAAGAAGTGCCATTAATTAATAACCATCAATCAGGGACCATCATCGCCAAAACACAACCGATCACATGAAATGTACAATGACATAAAAAGTGTATAAGAAAATAATTATGCAAATAAATAATAAAAATTGTTTGCGTAAGTGGATGAAGTATACTCAAAGTCATGGATTGCCACTGGAAAAAAACACACACAGAGAGAGAGAGAGATAAATTGCTACTCATTCATTTTTGCTACTGCAAAATCGATGTAATCAATTTCGTTGCACATTTGCATACCTTTTTTTCTCTCTCTAGTAGTGGAGATATTTCACTGGTACTATTTAATCGCACACGCCAGCCAATTTCAATGAAGATAAAATGTAAGAAAAACATAGATAAACAACACAAAATAACAACATCGAAAAATTATGTGTATGACATGCAATCATGGGGCGAATCACGCTAGTGAATGCTAGAAAAACTAGTAAATCTAGTGCGAAGAATGACGTCACAAACGAAGCCAACTTCACACCAAAGGCCATATAATTTATATGAAAAACTACTGAGAGCCAACTTCACGCACTAGAATTTTCTAGTTTTCTAGTGAAATCCTATCAAAAACTAGATGCACTAGAATTTCGTGATTGACCCCATGCATGCAATGGTCGTGAGATTTAAGAGAATCGAACAGTGTAACACCGTAGACTATTGAACTCGCTTGAGTTACGAGTGGAACGTCTGATATAGGAGTAATGCAGTGAGTGTATTTGTGCACAGACCGTTGCTCAGTGAACTATCTGCTTCTATGCAGACAATTTACGATGAGCAATGCTACCGCAGCTATGTGGTTTCCACTGTGTGGAATTCAATTAAAATTCTCACAAACAGGGCCATGCATTATTAAAATGCTTTAGTGTGTCTTTGATCTTCGTACAAGAATATGTAAATGTGGCTGCCGGTGATACGGTCGCCAATGTCGACGGGGAGAGACCGAACACATGGAGTGAGAAGAGCTTTAAATGATTTAATTATTCAAAACGGGAAGACTTTTTCGCTTTCTTTCTCTTGTCGTGATCAAAATAATGAGCTTCCAAATCATTGATTCTTTTCATCATCATTTTTTTTCCTCTGTCATTTTGAAAAAAATTAACGATCTATGCAGCGAAAAATGAAATGAAAATTTCATTCAATAATCATAACAATCGATCGATCAATGTTCCATTCCGGAAAGAAATCATACATCTTTTGAAATCAATTTCAAACCGGATCAATCAATTCAATCTAACAATGAACTCGTGCAAAAGATTTGGCGAACGGAGGTTGATTTCCAAATAAATCTCAAAACGACGACAAAAGTATGAAAACATAGACATAAATCAGCTGAATACGAACCAGATCTGTCGCTCAAAACGTTGAAAACAAATCGTTATCATCGTTTATATTGTTGTGCATCGTATAAAATGAGATTAAACCGAAATGAAAAACAGACGGCAAAATGAATAAATATAAATGAAAATAATACGCGAAAAAAAAAACAAAAGAAGAAGAAAAAATTAGACTAAACGACCAATCTCTCATGTACACTAATAAATTACATTTAGTGTGTGTAAATTGTGCGCGTTTTTTTTATCTTTTTCGAGAAATAAAGAAAGATTGCTCATTCTTCGTCTCGTTTGAATGTGGTTTAAACCACATGCGAATTGGTTGAGCTATTTACATTGCATCGTACTATGGTAATTAAGCGAAATATTTGTATTTGATTTTTCCCATCACTTTTTCCATATTTTGTGTGTCTTTTGCGTGCCCGATGGCTGCGCTGCGCTCTCTCCACCATACAAACGATAGAAACAATTGTATCCAAAGCATGATGTTTTTTTTTTCGCTGTGTTTATATCCAATCTCTTTTACTCAGCCCCGCACATTAGAATACTAAATTATTTAACTGTTGTTCCATCAACTCGCTCTCGACTGAAGATGAAAACAAAAAATTGATGTGGTTTTTT